TCACTGACCTAGGCCATGGACCTTCCTGATCGCCCATTGACCCCGTCCAGGTAAGTATGTCTCTCGTTGTTTTGAGCTTCCTATTTATATCCCCATGCCTTGCCCACATCTTATGTTTTCTCGATGTGGGAATCTTCTTTATGCATTTCACATCAAACACGGTTAAAAGTTAAAACCCTTGCATGCGCCTGCTAATCCTTGGTATAAGATGTCTTGGGTTCAGCTTATACCAGGAAGTGAAAAAAACACTGTAATATTTGTATTGTTTGATTTAACTCACCTATCAAAATTAAATAATATAGATATTATAAATAATAATAATTAAATAAAACTAAGAAGATACATCTTCTTGATAATTAATAACAAGCTGTCAATTGGTAATTTTCTTTTCTTTTCCAACAATAATTAGGGATACTCTTAAATCAATTTAAATATTAATAATAATTTTTTAACAATATCAAACATATTTAAAAAAAATCAATAAATTTCAACTATGACAATCTCAAAATATAAGAAATAAATAAATATCTTAAAACATCAAATCAATCTCTTTTTTCTTTTTTATTCATAATCATCATAATTTTTTTCTCTGCGGGGATGAATCTGGGATCGATGGATGGCCGTAGTAACCAGGCTCGGAGCCTGTGGTTTTTTTAATTGCTAGTTGCTGTTTAAGAGATAATGCCATACTTGAAGGGAATCAATATTAATTATTAAAATTTAAATATTTTATATATTTCAGAATTAGGTGGATGAGAAAAGAAAAAAAAGAAGCTGTTAGACATTATAACATCACAAAAAAAAATACACACACAGATATGTGTGTGTGTGTGAAGGTAGATGAGACAGACTTAATTTTTAGTTTTATTTAATTATTTCAGAAGTTTTTAGTTTGCTTTAAAATAGTGATTTGCAACCCTTGTGAAAAAAGAAACCGTATCAACTTCTAATGGTAGTCGTTAGATTTGGCCTCGTATAAGTATAACATGAATGTGAAGCAAAGTAATTAAATCCGGCACAACTCAAAATTCGGTTTATCAATTTATGGGTTGGGTTAGGTAAGCAAACCTAGAATAACTCATAAGAACATTACTTTGAAGACTTCTTTTATACATATATAAAAAAGGATTTTAACCATGTATGTGGTTGATATTGTACTAGTTTTTTTTTTAAATATTTTTTATTTAAAAAATATATCAAAATAATATATTTTTTTATTTTTTAAAATTTATTTTTGATATCGTTATATTAAAATGTTATAAAAATATTAAAAAATAAATTTTTAATTTTTGCTGCACAATATTTTAGTGCTTTTATAAATCAAATTAAGTCAATTCTAATTTTTTTTAAAAAAAAACTTGACTTGGGATTACTATATACTATACTAAAAGTGTTAATGTTTACCTAGATACATAATATTGTATATTAAAACAATGTAATGACAAAGCTCCCTTTACCACATAGAGGTACAAAGATTACACGGGGTGGAGTTGTCTTCTCATTGGAATACATTTAGCATTAAAGGAATGATTTAAAAAAAAGACATTAATGTAAATTTTGATAAGGTATAGTGGGGTGTCTCTGTTATTGTTTACCTTGACATAAAATATTATGAATTGGTGTAATATAATAGCAAAGTTATCCTTGCCATAAAAAGTTGCAAAGATTACAAAGAGGTACGGTTGTTTTTTATTGGGATACATTTGACATTAAAATGATAATTTAAAAGAAAACAATTAGTGCAATTTTTGAAAGGGCATAGTGGGTTTACAAACCTACACTACAGACACCTAATGTTGAGCCTGCCATGCCCTAGACATTACACCCATACCTATGCACTTGACTGCCAACCAATTTGCAGCTCGTGTGCCTGGGTCTCTTCTGATCTACATTTGGAGTTCGCGAACCCCTCAAGAGTTTGTACACCCGTGCTGTTTGGGTCTACATACCTTGAAAAATAAAGAAAAAAAATATAATATCAATTATTGTTATTGTTAATAAAAAAATTTTAAAAAATAATTATCACTATATAAACTTGGATTATATAAGTTTAATATTATTATTTGTATTCTAATTATTATTATTTGTATTATAATTTAAAATATTATTATTTATGTTATAAATATTATGATTTTTATTATAATTAACATTATTAGAATTAAAAATATCACTATTTTTATTATAAATATTATTATTTTGATTATAATTAATATTATTAATATAATAATTAATAAATTTGTAAAAAATATTATTAATACTAAAAAACAATAATAAATTTGATTTGAAAGATAAAATTAAGAACTATTATTATAATTATTATTGTTGCTATTATCATTAGTAAAACTTTTTAAAAAGTTATTATTACCATAGAAGAAAAACCATAATTGTTTTTAAAAGATTAAAAAATATAAGAATTTAGACAAATAAGTTAAATATCATTATGAATATTATTAAAATTAAAATAAATATTATTACTATTGAAAAAAATATAAATTTGATTTTAATGATAAAATCAATTATTATTATTAACTTAGACCAAGTATCTCTTTCCAAACCCAAAAAAATTAAGGTTAGAAAGGGTTGTCTAATCCAAGTTGCTTGGGTGTGTCTGAGACACAGACCAAAATCACCTGAGTCTTACAACTTTGCCTGACCTCATGTTGTGGGGTCTCGCATCCAAACTCATAGACAATGTGTCCATATGTTGAACAAAGAATAATAGGTCTGGCGTTGAAAATCAATTCTTCTTGGTCTCATGTTAGGACCTGAGGGTAATGGATTATGCATCATGACCCAATTTACTTGGGTCCTGCCTCAAGAGCCAATGCTAATGAATCCTGCTTCAAAAATCAATTTTCTTGGGTTTTGCTTCAGGATCCAAGAGTAATGGATCTTGCTTCCAGACACAATTTTTTTAGGTTCGTTATTAAGGCCCAAGACTATTAGTTTCAATATTAGGACCCAATTCTCTTGGGTTTAGTATCAGAATTCAAAGGTAACGGTTTCAATGTCAGGACCCAATTCTCTTATATCTGGTATCAGGATTTAAGGATAACGGGTTCAGCATTTGAAATCAATTTTTTAGGTTTAGCGTTATAATCAGACCTAACATTCTTATATCTTATATTTTTTAAAATAAAAGCTTAGCCGCAGCATAAAATGACGACACCTAACTAATAAATAACTATATTTACAATTACATTCAAACGCATTTTAAAAAAAAATTACTCTATGAATATATTAAATTGATATTTTTTAATTATTTTGATAGGATAATATAAAATAAAAAAATTTAAAATTTTATTTTAATATATTTTTAAATAAAAAGTTTTTAAAACAGAAGCGATGTTAATCCAAAGCGGTCCCTGTCACTAAAAACCTGATTGGCTGAATCCCAAGTCTATCCGTCGTGCAGGACAAGTTTAGTATTGCGGCTGATAAGGACACACATCAAAGAAAAGTCCACCATTAAAAGACCCATTTTTATTTAAGATAATAAAGAATGACGTCAAAAAAGAGAAGGAAAAGGCCAAATCGAAGATGAGTGGAATTACCTGTTACGAACAAAGACAAGATTGGTCAAGTCAAAAGCTTCACTTTGACAATCACACTAGAAGCTAAACCTTTGACAACTCCACTTACAAAAATTAATTTAAAATAAATTTGTATAAAAAATATGCTAAAAGATCAGTATATATCAGCCAGCTACTATTGCTATTTCATTGCAAGAAGCTCCCTACTTTCCTTGTTCTCTCTCTATATAGATGGTAAGGATTTCTTGGTAAGTTCTCTTAAGTCCATCGAATATCTGACTTTCTTTCATTTCTCTGTTTTTCCTTGTAAGAAAGATTTTAGCCTGCAAGCTTACATTGTTTAAAGTTCAAGAACCTCAAGGTTTGATATATAGCTTTTCTCAATTTTTACTCTTTGATATTGTATGTGTTGATGCTGGTTTTTATAAGGTTTAGTTTTTCATCAGTTCATGGATTTTGGCGAAGGGTTTGGCCATTGTTGAAGTGCTGGAGCATGATTGTTTTTTAAAGTATTTTTTATATAAAAATAATATTTTTTTATTTTTTTAAAATTTAATTTTGATAATAACATATTAAAATGACTTAAAACAAAAAAATAAATAAATTTGGATCAACTTCCATTTACGCCGCACTCCCATGGGGCTACGAGGAGAGAATTTTTTTTTGCTGGGTTGATGCTAT